TCTCTTACCTTGAAGAATGAGTTTACAGAGTCAGCTTTCTTACTTCATTCTCCTAATAAAAATTAGAGAAAAACATTTAGAAATTTTCTTCTCAAGTCAACAATAAGGGTAGAGGTTATTTTTTTTTATTTTAGAAACTTTCCTGTTCAACTCACCTGCAGAATAACATAGAATTTATGACAGTTTTATTTTATATGTATACATGTTTTGCCTTAACATATGTATGTACACTACATGTTCTAGAGGTACTCTCTAAGTTAAATGGACAAACTAGATAAAGTCTCAGGCTCAGATTTGCATATGAGGGAGAACAAACAGTGCCTCTTTGGTTCTGGGTAACTTCACATGGTACTATTTTTTCCAGTTTAATCTATTTACCTTTAAATTTCATTATTCTTTATAGCTGAATAAAATAATATACTTAACCTAGGAGTAATGAGTCATTGAACAAACTCCCCAGTGCCAGATCTGAGATACCAAGCCTTTGTTATCTACTTATTTTCTTACCAGAACTAGTTGATAAGACCTTAATGCTGAAGGTATCACATATTAGATAGAAGATTTAGAGAAATTAAGCTGGAACTTGGCTGGAAGCTTCCTGCTGTCTAGCTGGGAGGTGCTATGCAGGCTGCTAGAGAAGTAAGACATCGAAGGACTTACCCTACTTGTGAACTCAATGAACTCTGTACCAGCCTGCCAGGCAAGTGGTGCCGATTAGTGTAATAATGGCACAACTGTTATGGGGGAAACCAGCCTCTTCCAGATTGGATTTGAAGCTTGTTCTACATGAAACAATCCATGCATAGTTTTACAAACCCAGTAAAAAAAAAAAAAAAAAAAAAAAAAAAAAACTTAATACTATTTCTTAGCTAAACTGACAACATCAAACTACTCCCTAAATATATTCACAGAGAGAAGGTACTCTTGGCCTTAATTAGACAAGCATCTCTTAGCAGTAATAAAGGTAAATACAAAGAAGATGGCTACGAAAGGTGCCAACAGTAAAGGATAACTCAGGGCTCATCCCTAAACAACATGTATACCACTTTTGTGTAAGACCCTGAGAACATTTCAGAAGAGGGGTCCAAAAGAATGTAAGAGCTAGTAGCGAGTGGGGGTGAAATGTCATTTTCTAAGTATGACATGGCCATGGCAATCATGAAGTCACATCAGTTACACAGGCTGGCTGACATTGGTCAAATACAACTAACAGATTCTATGTGAGGAAGCTTTGTCTTTAATTGTGTGACAACAAGATCTAATAGATACTTCTAAACCATAAATCTGGAATGAGATTTGTAGGGAATAAGAGGAACTGGCAAGGGTCGGAAGAAAATAAGAGACAGTGGGAGTGAGTAGTAACCAGAATGCATTGCATGAATGTATAATATTATCATATACGTTTTATTAATAAGGAAAAAAGATAATTTGATGAAGTCCAAGAAGATCAAGATAAGCATCTCTAGCAACTTAGCAGAGATGCATGTGTTACTGTCACTGAGAAAGTGGTTGTGATAGAAAAGTGGAAGATGTCCCAAAGGAAGTGACCCTGACAAAACACCATATCAAAGGACCTACCAGAGATGTCTCAGCATTGAAGTAGGGATACAGGGTGGGAAGTCATCAACAATTGGAAGTTTGAAGACTGGCAAGATACCTGACTTCATCAAGTTTGACACTAAATGTTTGTGGTGAGTGGAGGTACTACCTTGGGAAGAATTGGTGTGATCACTGTGAGCTATAGCTTTCTTGACAGGTGCTAATGAAAGATACCAGCAACAGCTTTGTCGCCTCACTTTCCAATGCCTTTGTAATTCACAAACACAGCAAACCATTTGTCTTTCTACTCTGTGGACAGGGAATCCATTTCATTATTGCTGAAGAGAGAAGAAAACAGCAGCCAAACAATGAATGAAATGGTCTCTAAGTATCATGTGAGAGAGATTATTCTACTCTTTACATTACGTCTCTATAGTATATGCTTACAAGTGCTTATATAATAACATTTGAGAGAAAGAACTTGATTGGCTAAAAATGCTGAGAGTTGATTCAAATTCAGGAAGGAATAGGTCGGTTTGCCAAGGTTACACAAGGAAACTGAGACAGTCACTCATTCTACTCTTGATACCTGTTTTGTAAGAAAGAAAGTAAAGAACTTCAATTCCCAATATTTCTAATATTATCAAGTTGCAGTATTCTATACTAAACTTTTATTCTTCGTTTTTCTATATTATAATTGGCTAATTAGAGTTTTTTAATAGCTTGGAATATCAAAAATATATAAAGATCACAAAAATTGTAATTTTTTCCACTACAATGATTTTTGTGTGGTTCTTGTTTTTTCTTAGCTAGGATTATTAAAAAAAATAGTTTAACCAAAGTAACTCAGGGAGTAGAGGAATTTATTTCTGACAGTTCCACAGTCAGGACAGGAACTGAAACAGGACAGGAATCTGCATGCAGGAGCTGATGCAGAGGACTTGGTGGAGTGCTACTTACTGGCTTACTTCTTGTTCAGCTTGCTTTCTTATAGCACTCAGGACCACAAGCCCAAGTTACAATGGACTGTGCCCTCACTTCAATCACTACTTAAGAAAATGTTCTATAGGCTTGCCCATAGGTCGGTCTGATAGGGGGCATTGTCTTAGTTGAGGCTCCCTCTTCCAAAGTGACTCTAGGATGTGTCAAGTGACATAAAACTAGCCTGAACATTTTTTATGATAATTTTTACTGCTTTCTTTCACTACTCTGAGGACAACTTTATTTAAAATTTTGCTGTTTAATTTTTGTTTTGTTTTTTGATACAGGGTTTCTCTGTGTAGCCTTTGTAGATCAGGCTGACCTTGAACTTACAGAGATCTGCCTGGCTCTGCCTACTAAGTGCTGGGGTAAAGGTTCACACTACCAGCAGCAGCTATTTTTTTTTAATATGGAAATGAAAATGGGATTTTCGATTTAATTATTTTACTTTTTGAAGTATAATATAATTACATCATGTCCCCTTCCCTTCCCTCCCTCTAAGTCCTCCCATATACCACTCCTTGATATTTTTCAAATTCATGGCCATTGTAAGTTGAAAATATTGTTAATTTAAAATGCATTTATATTAGATACTTTTCTATTGTTATGTTAAAACACTGTGACTGAGGTAACATATAAATGAGTTTATTTGGGCTTATGTTTCCAGAGGAGTGAATCCAGAGCTGGAAGGTAAGGAAGCCAAGAGAGCTAATTTGAAATGATGTGAATTTGTAAATTCTCAAAAGCTAGCTCCAGTAACCTATTTCCTCCAACAAGGTCTAAGCCTTTTAAAAGAGCTTTACCATCTGGAGACCAGTTATTCACATGCCTAAGACTAGGTATATCTTATTCAAACTACCACATATACGTAAATAATAAAATACTAGCCTAGCCTACTCTTCAAAGCTGCTCAGAACATTTTTGTTCATCCACATTTTGACAAAACCATCTAATGTTGTTTTATAGTGAAGTCTTAAATATTTAGGACCATGAGATGGTGTAGTAGATACAGGCACTGACTGTGATGACCTGTTCACATGGTAGAAGGAGAAAACGGATTTGTTCACATCATCCTCTGACCTCCACATTCATACTATTTCACTTGCATGAACATGTATACACACAGACACACAAACACAAATAAATAAGTAAAAAATTAATTGTAATAAAAGTTAAATATTTGACATAATTTAGTGAATACTGAAAGTAAAAATACAGAGTAACTGTTGCGTGTAACTATTAAAAACAATCCACGCTATCGCTATCACTGTCTACTCTTCAGCCTTGGCAGTCTCCCCCGCCACCATGGCTAACCCCATGCCCAACTTTTCACAGTTTGCTTGCCATGGAAACCACTCACATTCCCAGTCATCTAAGCAGCCGTCTGCTGCCAAACCCACTCAGCAATCCCAAATTTCAGCCACTAGCTGGGAGTGCACTCTTGTAAACCCAGCTCTGCCGTGGTTACCTTTCCCTGGAGCTCAGTTGAATTGCTGCGAAATGGAAAACACCAGACAATCTTAGTTTAGAATCAACAGATAACACAATTGCTGAGTGTAGAATCTATCAGTGCTGAATTCACCAACTATTCTATGCTAGAAATCTTCCGGTGGTGGATCCTGGAGAGTTTCGCCACCAGAACTCTCAATCAAGACTACATCTTGTCCACTTTGCTTCCGCATCTCTGTCCGAAAACGCCTTCCTTTCTCCTGCATTCCCTCTTCCTCCCAGGACCCGGAAGCTCCACCTCCTCCTTGCCCAGTGATTGGCTTCTTGTCGTTCTTATTATTTAATCAATTAGGGGCAAATTCTGCTACAAGTAACCATATAGATATACTTTATCATTGTCATAAAGTAACTATGTATAATGTTTGTAAATCAGAAATTTTATAGTATTAAATACTAAATTATAATTTTATCATATTTTGATCCTGATTTTAACAGCTGTAATTTAAAGACACAAAACTATCCCAAAGTCTTACTTTAAGCCAAAGGTAGTATCTTAGTTCCTTCAGCGTGTTCTGACGAACTGCCCTCATACTGTGTAATTTGTTAAAATACAAATTTATTGTTTATATCATCAGAGTGCCTGGAGACTTGGTATACTACAGGGTCTGTTCTCGTGTTTGATGCCTTTATGACAGAAGAGGCAATCAAGCTCCCTTATACCTCTTCTACAAAGATACTAATAGAAGGGTGCTTCTGCTTCTTAACTTCCTGAAGGCCCAACCTGTTGATGCTAGTGCCATAGGCCTCACCAGTGATACAAGAACTTGAAGGATACCAACATTCAGATGTTAGCAGTAACCATGCATGTGGAAGCCTGTTTTCTGTAAAATTTTCAAATTACAGAACACATTGAATAAACCTGATTTTCAGGATTCTTTTCTAAATATCTTCTCACATTTTCATACTTAAGTGAATGGATCTACTCTCTATAAAACCAGCCATTCTGTTTTGTTTTGTTTTTTTCCTCGTAGATTTTCTGTGAAGACCCTGATTGATCGGTCTTGCTTTGAAACAATTGATGATTCTTCTCCTGAATTTAATAACTTTGCAGCTGTTCTGGAACAAATTCTAAGTCACCGGCTAAAAGGTAACAACTTTGATGTATTATTTATTTTTTCTAACAAATTCCTTGTAAGAAGATAGACTTTGCCAATTTGTATCCCTGTGATCTTCTTTTGTTGTCTAATTGTTCTAGCTAGAACTTCATGTACTACATTAAATAGATACAGGGGGGTTGGGGGAGCCTTGTCTTGTTCCTGATTTTAGTAGAATTGCTTCAAGTATCTCTCCATTTAATATAGACATTTGACATAGATTGTTGGTTTTCTAAATATTGCTTTTATTATGTTATGGTATGGGCCTTGAATTCCCGGTCTCGCCAATACTTTTAACATGAAGGGGTATTGTATTTTGTCAAATACTTTTTTCAGCACCTAATGAGGTGATCATGTGATTTTTTTTCTTTGAGTTTATTTTTATAGTGGATTACGTTAATGGATTTTCATACGTTGAAACAACCTTACATCCCTGGGATGAAGCCTACTTGATCATGGCGAATGATAATTTTAATGTGTTCTTGGATTAAGTTTGCTAGAATTTTATTGGGTATTTTTACATCTTTATTCATAAGCAAAATTGGTCTGAAGTTCCTTTCTTTATTGGGTCTTTGTGTGGTTTAGGTATCAGAGTAACTGTGGCTTCATAGAATGAATTAGGTTGTGTTCCTTCTGTTTCTATTTTATGTAATAATTTGAGGAGTATTTGTATTAGCTCTTCTTTGAAGTTCTGGTAGAATTCTGCACTAAAGCCATCTGGACTGAGCTTTTTTTTGGTGGGGAGACTTTTAATGACTGCTGCCATTTCTTTAGGTGTTATTGGACTGTTTAGATAGTTTACTTGCGCTTGGTTTAACTTTAGTATGTGGTATCTGTCTAGAAAATCATCCATTTCATCTAGATTATCCAGTTTTATTGAGTATAGACTTTTATAGTAAGATCTAATGATATTTTTGAATTTCCTCAGTTTCCATTGTTATATCTCCCTTTTCATTTCTGATTTTGTTAATTTGGATACTGTCTCTGTGGCTTTTAGTTAGTTTGGCTAGGGGTTTATCTATCTTGTTGATTACTCAGCTATCAACCAGGCAGCATACACAAGCTGGTCTAAGGCCTCTGACACATATACAGCAGAGGACAGCCTGGTCTGGCCTCAGTGGGAGAAGACAGACTTGAGGCCCAAGGGAGTGTGGAGGCCTGGCAGGGTGGGGGACATTCTCTTGGAGACAAGGGGGAGGAGGAAATGGGATGATGAACTGTGGGAGGGCAGACCAGGAAGGGGGCAATGACTGGATTTAAAAAAATAAAAATAATTTAAAAAATCACACACACACAAAATGAATCAGTACAGAGTGCACCCTTTTCATAGAGAAAATGAAAAAAAAATTTTTCACTCAGTACATTGTTTGAGGGAAGTTTTTCCTGTGGCAAACAAGCATTATATAATAACTTATGCATTAATAATTAATGCACATATATTTGAGTATCTGAATTTTGTCATTTATTTAATTATATATTTTAAATATCACAAACATTTCTAAGTTCACAAAACAATGGTTGGGAAATATTAAATAATGCATTCAGTGTTCAATCTTTTTTAAGTTTCATTTATTTTACATCTGACAGCAGTTTCCCCTCCCTTCTCCCAGTACCTCCCTCCCACCCTCTCCATCCTCTCCTTCTCCCTTTCTCTTCAGCAAAGGGCCAGCATCTCCACCCCTACCCCACCCCACCCTCACCCCTCAAAAAAAGAAGATAAACTTTTTGAAAACTTACAGTCTAGAGTGGTTTAGATAGCAACATGCTGCTACATATTAAAAAAAAAAAGACAACATAAATCTGACTTTCAACAATATACTTCCTTAAATTAGATACAGTTGAAAATTTAACAATACTTCCTTAAATTAGATACAGTTGAAAATTTAACAGTAAGTACCATAAAATATGATTTTTACTTTTTCCTTACATCCGTAAGCATATTTGTATCATATATATGAATCTTTTAAAATTTGAAAGTCAGTGGAGTAGTTACCGGTAACCACCCTTGCTCAAGTAAATAATGTCCACTCATCCATATTCAGGCAACCCTAGCTAAATGCAGTGGCTCTCACACAAAACAAAGCAAAACTCCAGAACGTGAAAGTCAGAGAAAGACTTACGAAGAAGAAAGGATTCATTGGAAAGGGGATAAAAGAAGGTGGGATATGATCAAAATATGTATGCATGAAATTGTGAAGTATAATCATATTTTTACTTTAAAGGGTTTATGAGAAACATTATCTCTGAATGTGAATTAAATTTTTTAAAATCAAAAGTGAAATTTTAGAGCCAGGTGTGGCGATGAATGCCCTGAATCCCAGTACTTGGAAGCCAAAGGCAGGTGAATCGCTGATTGTGAGGCCAGCCTGATCTATAGAGTTAATTCCAGACCTGCCTTTGGCTTCATAGTGAGACCCTGTCTCAAAAATAGTATTATCTATAATTAATAAAGACCTAGAATTATATGTCCTAATAACAACAATTAGCAACTTTGTTACATCAATTCCATTATCTACTCTTCAAAAGAAAACTTGGTAACTAGATAGCTTTGCTTTAGCTTTTACTTTTTAAAAAGTTTTAATTTTGTAGTTTTGTTTTCAAAAATAATTTGCTTTGATAGATAAGAACTTTCAAGTGTAATCAGAAAGTTAATTCCATTCTATACTTTTTAATGCTGATAGCTTCTAAGTTATGCTGTTTCAAATCATTTGAGGAAATAATTGAATTAACATGGGAAGAAAAATTCTGAACTCATTTATAATTCTGCAATTAAGATAAAGAAACCATCAATGTCATTTCTGTTCAGCTCTGTTGTTTCATGTGTAAAAAGTGTTATTGCTTTTCATTTTTGCATTTCTGTATTTCCTCAATTTTCTGCCATGAAAATATTTTAACACAAAATATGTTTTATGAAAGCAAAGATTATGAATGTTTTGAAATATTGTTAGAATTGTTATTTGTGTGATAATTATATTTTAGTACCAAAATTTATGACCAAACAGCACATTAAATAAAATATGCCATAATGTATCTTAGGATTCACACGTACTTTATCTTATGAAATTTCCCCTGATTATAATTTGTTATATGATTATCTCATAAAATACCCTTTAAAAATTATAAGAAAAATCTAAGACTACCTTAAAATTTCATTTTTAAACTGAATGTTGAATAACTGGAGCAGACTCACTAATGTAAATGGATTCCTTCATAAAAACAATATATGTCTTCTAAGTTATGCCTCAGCAAAATTGGATCATGAATGTTTAGTAGTGACTCCAGATAATCAAATTTGTTATTGTCAGTTCTGAGAAATACTGTAATGAAACTATACAACCTAGTTTATTTATCAATATAAATTTTAATAGTATAAATAAGGAAGCTAACATAAACTTGAGGAAATAGTTCAGTGGTAGGGCACTTTCTGAGAGGGAGCATGGCCCTAGGTTCACTCTCCAGTGCCACAAAACAACAAGAACAAAAATCCCATGGACATAGTAAGGTATTACAGGTTTAAGTCGAATGAGATCAATAATTCCAAGCATGCTTTTAAAAGAGTTACTATAGATCAACTATGTGGTTGTTAATAGGCATGGATCCTGAAATGATTTTTGGAAAGAAATATTTGAATGTTTCAGGTGCCTAGAAATTTCATATATTCCTATCTTTAATAATATAATATAGTAAATTTATTTTACACTTGGAAGGTTATATATTTTATTGTACATTTAAATATTTACTTAAAATTTAGTTTTGTTTTCAATTAAAACATCCAATGTCTTTATGTAAGTACAAATTAAAAGCATCTAATTTTATCAGATTATTACATTTATTTTATCAAGCTACTACTAGTTTTTAAAATAAAGAACATTTGGCTTATACATTAAATCTCTTTCCAGAGAAAGATAAATATTACCTTCAGACATAGTATAAGCTGTGTCACAGTTAAATGAATTGCTGACAAATTGTCTACTTTTAATTCATTTTAAAAGACTCATAATTAGAGAAATAGAAGCTTTTAAAATCTGACATTACTCTTATTTTCATTAATCCCTTGATCAAATGATGGCCTTACTTTTTCTAGAATATACTTGAGAAGGAAGAAAATATTAAAAATTGTAAGGCCTGAGTTCTGTTCCTTCAGTTCAGTGTCATTTAAACTGTAGTCATTTTAAAGTGTAAAATGACCCAGTAGCTCCCATGTGTGTAATCCCAGACCTTTAGGGGCTGAGGCAAGAGCACTGTGAAATTGAGGCCAGCCTGAGCTGTATAGTAAGACACTTCTTCATCTGGCTTTGTATCTTCTATTAAAGCCACTGCAGAAGCTGCACACATAAGTGTTCTGATGAAGTCAAGCTTTTAGCCTTCTTAGCAATAACTGCATCCTTACTGTGCATTGCTATGCACTGCTGTAGTCAGGACAAGGGACCATAGGTTGACAAGTACAAGTCTATTCTATTTGTCATTAGTCTGTTCTAGGCTAATGACTAAGCACTCTCAGTATTTTCTTTTATATCTTTTTCTTTTCTCCTTTCTTTCCTTTCCCTTTTTTTTTAATACTGTCTGTCTTATTTTGGGGGTGAGGGGGAAGACAGACACTCTCTATGTAGCCCCATTGTCCTGGAACTCACTTTATTGACCAAACTAGACTTTCAACTCACAGAAATCAATCTCCTTCTGCCTCCCAAGTGCTGGAATTTAAAGGTGTGCACCACCACATCCAGCCCACTCACTAGTATTTCTAATTGGAGAATTTACATCTTTTTTAAAAACCATCTGATCTCTGGGAACCTAGGAAGGCAGCTCATCAAATTTTTGGATAGTTCAAATAGTTAGAAAATTCTAATTATATGAGGCAAACAAGATGGCTCAGGGGGCAAAGGTGTTTGCAACCAAGCATGACTACTGAAATTTGATTCCAGTCATTCACATGGTAAAAGGAGAGAATCTATTTGCACAAGTTGTCCTCTTATCTCTACACATGTGTTATGAC